AAGAGGAGGAGGAGAAGAAGGAGGAGGAGGAGGAGGAAGATGAGGAAGAGGAGGAGGAGGAGGAGGGGGAGGAAGATGAGGAAGAAGAGGAGGAGGAGGAAGGGAGGAGGAGGAGAAGAAGGAGGAGGAAGAGGAGGAGGAGGAGGGGAGGAGGAAGAGAAGCACAAAGAACTATTTTTTCTCATGCACGTTAGAGATCATTATTAATCTTTATTTTTTCCCCTTGCTATCAAACTACATTTTTCTTTATTATTCTTCAAGTAAAATAATGGAGAATATAGATTTGGTGAAGCTGATTCAAAAACTGTATTATGACAGTATTTTAATTTCAAAATACTGTGAATGATATTCATACAGGAGGTATATTTGAAATGAAAGTTAATTTAATTGCCACTGCTAAAATCTTTGTTTTAATTTGGTTATTTTTAAAGTCTTTTACTTACATTGCATTTCTTTTTGAGTTCAAAGAAAAATATTTAAAGGAAATATCTGTGGTTAAAACAAAGTCTGCTTAGATTTGTTGCAACTAAAAGACACCCAAGAGTAAAGTCTAAAGAGAAAGCATAGAAGAGCATGCATCTTTCTGTGCTTAGCCTGAGACGATTCACTCTGTGTAGGTTATAATGTGAAATCCCATGACTCTGGCAATTTCCTGCCTAATTTGTTGTTGCTACTAGATGCTGAGTTGCTGAGTGGTAACTGGAGAGCTTTCCATTTGTTCCCTGTAAAATCCAGTTAGAAGGAAATCAGTCCATATTTCTGGTTTTCTCTTACATTTGTTCCAGACACCATAGGGTTCCCAAGGTCACACACCACCATCCTGGTTACATTTTCCATCTTGTACTCACAGCTCAGTGGTCGAAATCCCTACAACGGGAAAGAACAGGGGGTTTAGGGGGCAGAATAAATGACATCCTGACACAAAAGTGATGATTGGGGCCTGGGAGCTCCCCTGCATCTCAAACACCCATGAGGGTGACGGTGCACAAGAAGTGATTGATGACCCCTAACTCGGAAGAGAAGGTGGAAAGAGAAAAGTAAAAGTTAAATTTTAGAAGGAAATGTATTGGGTGTGTAAGCATATTTATTGCGTTTCATTAAGGAAGACAATGCACAATATAGTATTTATATAAATAGTTTAGACATTAGCTTCACTAGTGTTAATGTGAAACTCAGGGCATGAAAAATCACAAATTATTAAACATGAGTAAATAAACAGATTCTTATGTAAGCCTTGCAAAAACAAAATGGCCATAATATGTATAGATTATCATAAGATTCAATGACCATTAGCCAGAGAACTGCCTGGAACACAATTTCTGTACACCATGGTCCCGTTTTGAGATCATGCAATCGACTTTGTTCAGTCCTTCAATATTTCAGATGTAAAGAGAACACTTCTATGATTAGCTGTACTTCCTATTTCCTTTCCTCCCCTATATATCCTATTCCAAGTAGAGTTCATATGAACTGAAGTTTGAAGAGGTTCTTGGAGCTATACACTGGAGAAATTCTCAAGGTTGAGCAGATGAGAGAGGAAACACAGGTTTGTTTTGGAACTGTTGCCTTTGGTTCCCAGCTCTTCTTTATTTCCACATGCTATTCCCAGCTGCTGAGAAACTCACCCCTGACTCTCTACCCTATTCTCTTTCCATACCTCAAACCCTATGGTACTAATTCTGCATTTGGCCATAGCTACTTATGCTTTTCCATTATTTCACTCTAACTTGTTATGTGCCACTGATATATTACCCATCACCCTTGTTCCCAAAGATAAGCTTGCAATATGCGGGCTTTCATAAAGGAGCAAATTTTGGGGGAATTTCTTTCACTGTGATAGGTTCGGAAGAGGGTTCCCAATATAATGACCATTTATCCATCTGTTAGCTCTATTGAAATTTTATTTTGGGGCCTTTTTTTGTTATCTATTGAAATTTTAAATAAGAAAGTAATGTAAAGTTTCAGAAATGATCCTCCATTCCCTTCTATTTTATTAAAAAGGCCAAAAGCCAAAACCCAAGCAAAAAACACCAAACATTTCGCCAGTTTTCTAGCTAAAGCATTTTGTAGGTAAATCACACACTTTGAGAATATAAGCTTCAAGAAGGCAGAGGTTTTTGAGTCTGTTCTAGTCCCAATGCCTAGAGTAGTCTTAGAAACAAAGTAATTGATGGGTCAGGAACAAGAGAGTAGATAGCTGACACTTTCTCCTAAAACAAAAGACTACAATGAAAGAGACAAGTATGCAATTAAGTCTAAAATCCTGCTCCCAGAATCACCCAGACAGACAGATACATGGAAAGATCTGTCCTAATTACCGAGAAAGGAATGGATCACTGATATTTGGAGGCACAATTTAATACATTCTCTCTCCAAATATCCTGAATGACAGTAACTTATGTTGAATGAGCTAAGAAACATCTTTTCAAAAAGGTGGTAATAGTCTTTCTTCTCAAAGATAGGTTAGTATGTATTCAGCTTCTTAAGGATCCATAACAAACCCCTAATCATACAGAGATGCTTTGTGTTGGGATTGTTAACTCAATCACGAAAACAGAAAAAACCCAGAAAAAGCTTTCGTAAGTGCTCATATGTCCCTTGAATGTAATTCAAGAATTTAGTTTCTATAGTAAATATATATTTTAAAATCTCACCTAAAGGTTAAAAGTTACATGTACATTCTTTTCCCTAGCTTTCTCGAAATAGTTCGTTGACATCAATCAAAGAGATTTTTTTTCCTTTCACATCCCCTCCACCCTTTTTCTTTTTTAAAAGCATTATTTCCTCTCTTTAATAAGAGGAACAATGACTGTTTTTCTGGACATTTCTAGATTATTTTCCTCTGCAGTTCCAGGGACATTCTTGTTCTAATCCATTTATAGCTCTTAGAGTGGTCTTCATTCACTGAAAATATTAACTGTACCCAGTATTTACCAGGCCTGACAAATGAGATGCCTTGTCTTCACTGAATTCTTAATTATTTTAACAACTGTAACAAGTAATTCTAAGCAATTGTAAAGCTTAGAATTGCTTTACACAATTGCAGTGGAGTCGAGTAAATTTTGTGATAGGATAAATAAATAGTGACAAAGGAGGACCTGCACAAAGATCCAAGCAATCAGAGAAGGCATCCTGAAGGAAGCGGCATCTAAGCTGATGGGGACAGTGCATATCAGTGGTTAAGAACAGGGGCCCAGCTGGCCATGGTGGCTCACGTTGTAATCCCAGCACTTTGAGAGGCTGAGGCAGGCAGATCACCTGAGGTCAGGAGTTTCAGACCAGCCTGGCCAACATGGTGAAACCTTGTCTCTACTAAAAATACAAGAATTACCTGGGTGTTGTGGCAGGCACCTGTAGTCCCAGCTACTAGGGAGGCTAAAGCAGGAGAATCGCTTGAACCCAGGAGCCAGAGGTTGTAGTGACCTGAGATCTTGCCACTGCACTCCAGCCTGGGCGACAGAGCGAGATACCATCTCAAACAAAACAAAACAAAATCAGGGAGGCTGGGCGTGGTGGCTCATGCCTGTTATCCCAGCACTTTGGGAGGTCAAGGTGGGCGGATCTCTAGGTCAGGAACTCGAGACCAGCCTGGCCAACATGGTGAAACCCCATCTCTACTAAAAATACAAAAATTAGCCAGGCATGCTGGTGAGCACCTGTAAATCCCAGCTACTCGGGAGGCTAAGGCAGGAGTATTCCTTGAATTCAGGAGGCAGAGGTTGCAGTGACCTGAGATTGCATCACTACACTCCAGCCTGAGTGACAGTGACACACTGTCTCAAAAAACAAAAACAACAGCAACAAAAACCCCAAAACCCGGACCTAACGGTTGATGCTTGAACTTGCTTCTGCTACATAATAGCTGTATAACCTTGGGCATGTCACTTAATTTATTCTTAGCTATAAAACAGGGATAATGAGAGCAGCTTCTCTATAACACTGTTATAAGAATTAAAATACATTCAAGAACTCAGAGGATTACCTAGCTCATAGCAGTTGTTCAATAAATGTTAGCCACCTCAATTATTATTCCCCACTCCTCAGTTTTTATTAAGTCTCAATTATTATTTGAAGGATTAGTAGAAAGAAGTGAAAAGAAGTAAGACAGATAAAGAGGATGAGGGAGTAGAGTTAGTGTGTTAGGAAGAGAAACGGCTGGAACAACCTCTCTGGGTCATTACAGGAATGGAAAAGGAATTCAAGCCTCCTGCTGGAAGCATGAGCATTTAGCGAGGAGGCTGAAGAGGTGAGCAGAGGTGACGTGATCAAGGGCCTCACAGGTCGTCTGAAGGATTTGGATCTTATCCTCAAAGCAATGGGGAGCTAGTGAGGCTTTGAAGAGTGTCAGGCTCAGATTTGCAATTTAGAAAGATGGATTTTTTTCTAGGCTAGAGGTAGGGAGTTGGCAAGATGAACTAGGAAGACTGCTGCAATAATCCGGGCAATGAAGGTGGTGATGGTGGCTGCTGGATGGTCTCAGTCCACAGTCTCTCTAATTCATATCCTTCTCTCCTTCCAACTGCTGCTGTCACCACCCTCATCCAGGCTGGCATCATTTTAGATGTTAGAAACCAGAGGATGGTGGTGTCATTTTTGTACATAGAAAATAAAAGATAAGCCGGATGTGGTGGCTCATGTCTGATATCCCAGAACTTTGGGAGGCCGAGGCAGGCAGATTACCAGGTGCAGATTTCAAGACAAGCCTGGCCAACATGGTGAAACCCCATCTCTACTAAAAATACCAAAATTAGTCGGGCATGGTGGTGGGCACCTGTAATACCAGCTATTTGGGAGGCTGAGGCAGGAGAATCCCTTGAACCCAGGAGGAGGAGGTGGTTGTAGTGAGCCAAGATCATGCCGCTGCATCCAGCCTAGGCAATAGAGTGAGACTCTAT